GTTCAGTTGGAAATGAAATCTCAAAAACTGCTCTGCCCTGCTAGACACCGGTGGCTCAGGCCTGCAATCCTAGCTACTAAAGAGGCTCAGATCTGAGGATTACAGTTCAAAGCCAGCTTGGGCAGGAAGCTCCAGGAGACTCTTATCTACAATTAACCACCCAAAAGCCAAAAGTAGAGATGTAATTCAAGTGACAGAGCACTAGCTTTGAGCACAAAATGCTCAGGGACAGTGCACAGGCCCCGAGCTGGCCCCAGGACCAGCACAAAAACAAAAACAAGAAAAAGTCTGTTCTGGCTGGGTGTTGGTGGCTCACTCCTGTAATCACAGCTACTCAGGAGGCTGAGACCCTGAGGATCTGCATCAGAGACTTATCTCCAATTAACCAGTGGAAAATCAGAAGGGGCGTTGTGGCTCAAAGTGGTTAAGAGTGCTGGCCTTGAGCAGAAAAGCATAGGGACAGCACCCAGGCCCCAAGCTCAGGCCCTATGACTGACCAAAAACAAACAAACAAAAACAAAAAACAGAATCTGTTCTGCCCTGGCTAGCTTTGAATTGGTTCCTCCAAGTTATAGCTTCCTGAATAGTAATGAGCTACTGGCACCCAGTATTGATTTTGCCTCCAAAAAAAAAAGGAATCAATCACATCAAATATCAAGTAACCAGAAAAATGTACTGTTTGAAATTCATTTAAAAAAAATAATAAAACTGGGCTGGGAAGGTGGCTCAGTGGTAGAGCGCTTGCTTTGCATACATGAGGCCCTGGGTTCGATTCCTCAGCACCACATAAGCAAAAAGATAAAAGCCGGAAGTGGCGCTGTGGCTCAAGTGGTAGAGCGCTAGCCTTGAGCTGAAGAGCTGAGGGACAGTGCCCAGGCCCAGAGTTCAGGCCCCACGACCGCCCCCTCCCAAAAAAAAGCACCCTATTGCTGGGCACCAGTGGCTCACACCTGTCACCCTAGCGACACAAGAGGCTGAGATCTGAGGATTGCAGTTCAAAGCCAGCTCAGGCAGGAAAGTCCGTGAGACTTTTATCTCCAATAAACCACTCAGAAAACCGGATGTGGTGCTGTGGCTCAAGTGGTAGAGTGCTAGCCTTGAGCAGAAGAGCTCAGGAACAGCCCAGGCCCAGAGTTCAAGCCCCACAAACAACCAAACAAAAAAAGGCACCCTATCCTCCCAAAAACCTGAGTGTCCACAATCAAACAGAGAGTATGTGAACTCAACCTCAGAGATGCTGGTCATGCTTTGTGTCCCTTACCACTTCTATATCTATACTGACAGACTGAAAAATAATTCTATTTCTCTCAACTTGAATGGGAGGTCTCCTTTATAACTTCATAAAAGATGGTTTCGAATCCATTAAGTATCAAATCATTTAAACTCAGCCTCAATCTGGGCTGGAATCATGACTCAAGTGGTAGAGCACCTAAGCAACTTGTGCAAGCAAATACTGAGTGATTCTAAGCCCCAAGTGCAAATCCCAGAACCATGCTGTCTTTATAGACTCCGAACTATTCAGGAGGCTGTGATTTGAGGATCAAGGTTTTGAGCCAGCTAGGTAGACAAATTCTGGAGACTCATCTCCAATCAAATAGCAAAAAAGTCATTGAAGTGGTAGAGGACCAGCGCTGAGTGAAAAGTTGGTGCTGATCACCAAGCCCTGAGTTCAAGCAACAGTACAAAGCCAGTGTGGCTCATGCCTCCAAGCTGAGCTCTGAGGATCGAGGTTCAAAGCTACCCTGGACAAGAAAATCCTTGAGACTCTTATCTCCAGATCAGTCACCAAGAAGCCAGAAGGGGGGTTGAGGCTCCAGTGATAGAATGCCAGCCTTGAACAAAAAAAGCTAAAGAACAGCACTCAGGCCCTGAGTTCAAGCCCCAGTACAGACACTCACCTCATTCCCCCCCCAAAAAAAAACCAGAAAAATCAGCCAAAGCCCTTACCAAGCGTTTCTTTGCTGCGGTAATGGACTCGAGTATGATTGCAATGCCGAGACAATGCCAAAGTTTTGAGTCAATGCTTTTTACACGGCTCCCCATTAACTTTTCATTAACCGAGCTAATTAAGCAAATGGACAGGCTGAGATTTCGGGTCAGTTTTCTTTCCCAGGTGCTCTCTGAAGCAGAGGTAGAAAAAAAAAGGGGGAGGAGGAGGAGGAGGAAGAGGAGGAGGAAGAGAAAGAGGAGGAGGAGGAGGAGGAGGAGGAGAGGGAAGAGGAGAGAGAGGAAGAGGAGGAGGAGGAGAGGGAGGAGGAGGAAGAAAGGAAGGAAGGAGGAAAGAGAGAGAGAGAGCGCGCTCCAGCAGAGGGAGAGGCACCAACCAGAACTGTGGGCCTTCGGACATCAGACAGACCACCCGGAGTACGAACGGGAAAGCCGAGGGCTGGCGGCGCGGAGAGGTGGTTATTATTATTATTATTAGTTATTGTTATTGTTAGCCTCCGAGCCGATCGGGGCTGCCTTTTTTGACCTCCGACTCGGCGCCGACCCAGAGCAAAGTCAGAGGAGCAAACGCCCAGACGCCCCCCCCC